GCGGGAATATAGATGATACTCAATGTGTCAATAGTACGAAGATATGTTAAGGAGTGCGGTCCACCTTCGGGGTGCACGACGGCAGTTGCCAGTTGCCTTGGCCCCTTGAGGGCGCCTCGCCGGCCAGCCCGGCCTTACGATAAGATAATCGTGGGACAAAATTTCTTGTGAAGTTTCCAATTGTTTTTCTGAGGTTTCGTTGTAATTGTTTTAACTAAGAAGTGGTCATGTACGTAATATACTGTCTACGAACTGTCAAAGCATTATGGGATATTCTCTTACACCTAATACGTAACGCCTTTACATATTCCCCGTATCACCAGAGTCCAGAAGTAAAAGTAGCTCGCAAAAACTCGGAGATTGTCAAAAAGTAAAACTAGATAAAACTTAATGATTGCTGTAGTAGGACGACATATGCAAGGACTATACACAAAAGTAGGAAAAACGTTGGAAGCAACAAAACATAAAATAAATTACTGGAGGTCAAGAAAATCAGATTCATTGTTCACCGGTTATTTTTATAATGTTAGGTGCTTCTCGTGATACGGTGAATAATATATGTAAAGCCGCTTTCTTTTGGTTCTAAGAAAATATCGCATGGTGCTTTGACTGTTCTTAGACAGTATATTACCTCTATGACCACTTCGGACTACTAGATAAGGTACGAATTCCAGCATTCTGATACATGTTTCGAAACCAAAATTTCACGTAGAACACGATGCTCACAGCGAAATTTACCGAAATGAACTTCTTACGAAGAATTAAATGATTCTTAATGCGTGAATTCAAACCACCCGCTCATGAAAGCTCAATGCTCTACGTGATTCACATCGCGCGCTAAATGTTATCATAACAGTTTTACTATATACAAATCTAGCAACCTCAATCTTGACACTTTGGCTCAGCTATAGAAAATTGCTTATAGTTAGAACAGCACATGGTGGGAAATGTATATTGCTCGATTGAGAGGCTTGCTGAAACCGTTGTAGTGCGCGATTCGACTCACGTAGACCTTTGAGTTTCTTGTCAGCGGGCAGTTCAAGTTCCTCGTGACCAATGTGAAATAAAAACGTTAATATATTCGTTAGGATGTGGTTTAAGTAATTTTCGTTGTGCGAATCGTGCTGTACGTGAAAATTCTGACAAGGAAACATGTATTAGAATGCTTAAATTCGTACCTTGTCTAGTGGTCCTCGGAAACTTCACAAGAAATTTTGTCCCACGTTTAGCTTATAATTTGCGGTAATATCCACAATTTGCTCTAACTTTTCAAAACATTTTTAAATAATGTGGAAGTATTCAATTAATAACAATACATTTTAGACTTTTCTTTTCTTCTCACAAAATGAAAAAGATAACCCTACTAAATGCAAAACTTTGAAAGAAACAGATCGGAAAGTACTAATTTTTTTGGCTTCTGGAAAGAAGGGGAGGGGGTAGAGGTGGGTAAGGTTGCCTCCTCAGTCTCAAATTCAAGCATACTTTTAGGGGTAATACTGCTTCTTTAGTATAACTTCCTCAAATTCTCAAAAAAGATATAAAAATGTGTTTATAATGAGAGGCTCCTAGATCTGAGGGGACTGCGGAGAGAGGAGAGTGGGGGATTTAGAGGAGGAGGGGGCAGTTTAGGGGTGGAAAGAGAATGTGGGACCTTCTTTATAAAAGACGAAGTATGAAAGTCATAAAATTATAGTAGGTACAACAGAGAAAAAAGCATCACAGCTATCGAATAACCATTTATACTCGATACGGGCGTCGCAGGCCCGGGTTAGGCATTTGTGTAGGTAAAAACGGCTAGTCATCTAAGAGTTAAAGACAGAAGTAATATTCTTTCCGGGCATCATTTTTTGCCATATCGCAATATGGGGCTACTAAAAAAATGCGGGGAAATTAGAATAATAACAACCACAAAAATTTGGCTACCCGGTTGGAGCCAAGGGGCTAAAATATAAATTCTGTCGTGCTAGTAAAGAGAGCAGTAAGTGCAAAAATGAAGTTTTAGGATAACGGGCTGAGAAGCTTTTGACCGGATTTTTTATTGAAAGAAGTCTCCGTTCTTTGTCACACCGACACTACTCGTCCGAAAAACTCCAAGAAATCGTTTGGATGATCAATAAAAATTGACTGATTACATTTCCATGACATAAATAGGGTATTTTTCATTTTCATGCTAGGTTCTTGTTATAGGCAAGACAGCTATTAGTGCTATATTCCGCATGCTTTCGTGGTTGCGTTTTAAACACACAGCAAACACGTTTCCGGGTAAGAAAGTGGCAGAGGAGGGCGGCACTTTACTTGAAAGCACTGTTTTCATTGGCTCTCTTGAGGAATATTGTTACTTACTGCTGTCCTGCCTGAAACTGCGTCATTTTTTGCGCACTTACGGCTTCCTCACAAGTCTCGTTTTGGTACGATTAAGATGAATTTTTCTATTTTAGCTATTTCAGTGGTTTCATCTAAAAGAGATTGGACGAATTTTGAAGGTAACTCGATTTCGAAAATTTGACACTCACTGCTCTTTCTCTGTCACGGCAGCATTCCCTAGACTATGGAGCTATCTTGACGGGTCGGTAAGGAGTTCTACGTTTTTTCCTCGAATGATCGAACGTTTTTGAAACTGGTAATGTTAGTATAGTGTGATTTTTTTTTGTTGACGCTCATTTCCTCGGTTTTGAGGCTAAGTCCAACTTCTATCTTAAGGAAGTAGGTACACGCGCAGGTGCAGTGATGTGGAGAGAACTATACCTAATTACATTAATTTGAAATTATATTCAGGATCAAACAATTGCTGCATTTTAGCTTGAATCCTTGAGAAGTTTTAACAATTATTCTATATAAGAGTGATTTGGGAATGCTTTGCCGGTCTAGGTGCTTAGGAAATTGTACTGGTCGAGCCAATTCATCAGAGATCACTGAGCCATATTAATGGCTTTTACATTCCAAGTATTCTTCTGAATTGGTGATTTAGTGCTCATTAGAAACTTCCATCCTTGTTTCAAACAACATCCGATTATTGCACAATATTTATAAGAGCATATATCTGACATGGCACGGTTAGTCTGAGTGAAACTAAATGAAACCGCCTTCAGGATCTTGTAAACGGGTGTTACCAGCACTGTTTCAGCCTAAAATAAAAATATTCTTTCAAGCTCTTCAAAGATTGCGTTTTGCGGATTGGGATTTTAACTCTATAAATGGTTTGTTCCCATCACTTTACTCAGACGTCTAATTCTAAGGTATATTCAAACGGAAAACTTTTAATTTTCCACCAAAAATTATATCCATTAGCTCTCTATGTTCTTTTAAATTTTGGAAAATAATATATCATTTTGAGTAAATTCATTGGTATACTTGGGTGAGAGATCAAATTTAGTTGAAACAAAATTGCTGAGAGGTCTCCTTGACTGAGGAACGACGTTGCATGGCTGTTCAAAAGTAAAAGTGTCATTTTTTTCATTCTTCATGTGGATCAATGGTGAAAAAATAAAGGTTTGAGGTAAAAGAAATGTCTCCCCGAATAAATTCACAATCTTTCAGCAATTTTTCCCACATTAAATCTGATCCAGCTAATTATTATTTGTTAAAACTATTAACTCAACCAAACCCGGATTCAATTTTGGGCCTAGCAAATTTCAACTACGAGTATTGAAAACATCCCCGAAACTACAAATCTTGGCCCCCAAATGCGTGAAGCAATGCAGGAGCAAGACAATTTGATTCTTCGGTCTAAATTAAATGTAAGTGGACACTCATTGCGACATAATTTGTCTCACTTTAACATTAAGTGGGATATTGGCCAGAAAAGCAAAACAAAAAACGGTCAAAAAACGCTGTTCTTAAGTCCAGAGTGCCTCGGAACCATGCGGGAACGTGCTCAGTCAATGTCTTATCAAATCACACTTAGGAGTCGGCTTTCTTATTGTAGTTTTTCCCTCGGATTGAAGCTGTCAAAAAGTTATCACCAATTTAGCCCCAAAATCACAAAAATCTATGTTATGCTCAAAGAACTTGGCAGAATATCGTCTTTTTTGACCGAAGCAATGCCGGTGACATGCAACCACAGTATCCCGAAGGAATCAAGCGCGGGCAAAACGATTTACCTAAATAAATTTCACTCATTTATCGTGATGGGTTTATTTGGTTTTGATATGATTTCATGAATGGTATGTGGGCATATGGTTTCGAAAGAAGGTGTTGTGGACGTCTGTAAAAGGTTGATGACAGAAAGTGGATCAGGAAATCAGGGGGTATCATTTAATTGATGATCCATGGAAGGATAGATTCCAATGGCGATTAGGAGTCGCAGAGCGCTTTACGGAGCTAATGTAGTGGCTATGTATACCGGGTGTTCCAGAACACCCGTCCACTATCTTTTTCTCGGAAACGGTCGAAAATTGAGCTTTAGGACAAAACTTTCAGAGGTTAATCAACCCCAAAGCATTCGATAAATACCGGGTGTATATATCTCTTATATAATTAAAAAAATTGATTTTGGTTGGCATTAATAAAAAATGGAGTTTTTTAATGAGGTATCGGCCATTCATTTTTAGGTACGGATTTGTTTTCCACACACACACACACACCCTCTCACACACACCCTCTCACCTTCACACCCACACACACACACCCTCCCTCGCTCACACACACACCCTCACCCACCCTCACACACACACACACCCTCACCCTCACACACACACACACACATATATATATATCACAACTTGCGGGTTGATTGGGGGAACGTTTTAGACGTTTTTTAATATCTTAGTGTGAAAGGTTTCCAAAATGCATAATCCTCTTGTATATTGAAAAGATGTAAATGGGTATGAACAAAACTAAATGTAACAAATTTCCCTCATAGCCCCTGTTGACAAAGCACGGTCACGTTTCTCTCATTGGTAACACAACAGAAGTCTACTTATCTAGAGTAAACGTTTAACTGGGATACAAGGTGTTGTCCACCTCAAGGGAAATAACTAAACCATTATGCCAGCGCCTACCTCAGTCGTGAAGGTAATTTGTGGATGTTGTAGTCTAGATTTGGACTGACGATCACCATCGAATGGCAGACCAACAGCTCCTGGACTAGATACAGAACGAGGTGGCAGAATACTGGTTTTTTCTGGCACTGGAACCGGGGGTCCCGGCGTCGAGCCCCGATTGATCATGCCACTGGGTACTATCCTCCTGTAGACCTCAATGCTGAGTTGATTGCCGCAAGCTCTGCAACAAAAACGAGATGTGCTTGAATAGAGGCCAACATCAGAGGCAGATTAAACGCTCGGAGAATAGGTAAAATTGTGTAAACTTTGAAGATCAGGCTCAAAAGAAGTGTCCCATATTAATATCCAAAGACTGAGCTTGTTCAGTAAATTATAAGTCTTACATTTTTGGAAAGTGCCTAGAGAGTGCACATACCTCATAGGAATTTTCCCTAAAGTTTTGAGCAATATTAATCCACGAAAATATCGCGCAATAACATCCAAATGTTACCAACTTGTAAGTATCATCATTGTGATTATAGGAGATGGAGGAGCATTAAAATATGTGGGAGCCTCTGAAAATATCTAATAAAGGAGGATCTAGGATCGATCGGCGGGACCCCTGCGGCCGGGTCTCCGGTCCCCCCGCCGGGTTTTCCGGTCCGACCCTCCGGGGGGTTGCTGCAGCCCCTAAGAGTTTATTCGGGAAAACCGCCACCTCTCGCGCCACGTTCGTTCTTCCGGCTCGGGATTCGGCACGCGGTTGCACTCGGGTGGCCGAAGCTTAATTCCAAAGAATCGCCGACCCCAGCCTCCCCGGAAGGGCACTGCGCCTCGAATAGCCGTTTTTTCCACCCCCGCGTGAAGTGCCCCACTTCGTACCTTCCCGTTCGTCCTCCGGGCTCCCGGTTCCGTCTGCGGGTCGGCTCCGGGTCGGCTCCGTTCGATAAGGTCGGATTTCGTGATCCCTCCATCCGGGGGGCGCTGGCGCCCTAATACGTGAAACTGTAAACGGTCCGCCGTGACCTTGAGATTCTAGGCCCCGTCCCAAGGACCCCCGTGTCCCACGCCCCTGAGGATCCACCGGCGGGACCCCTGCGGCCGGGTCTCCGGTCCCCCCGCCGGGTTTTCCGGTTCGACCCTCCGGGGGGTTGCTGCACCCCCTAAGGGTTTTTTCGGGAAAACCGCGGCCGGTCCCGCCCCGTTCGTCCTTTCGGCTCGGGATTCGGCCCGGGGGCACCCGCGTGGCCGGAGCTTAAGTTCCGAGAATCACCGACTCCGACCTCCCCGGAGGGGCGCTGCGCCCCGAAGGCCGTTTTTCACGACCCCCGCACGGAGTGCCCCACTTTTTACCTTCCCGTTCATCCCCCGGGTTCCCGGTTCCGTCTGTGGGTCGGCGACGTTCGGTCAGGTTGGATTTAGCGATCCCTTTTTCAGGGGGTGCGCTGGTGCCCTCCGACGGTTTTCGGAAAAATCGGCCTGGCTCCCTTCATGCAGGGCCGATCGGAGCCGTCTTTGGACCGGAGGTTCTGCCCTTCGTCCCGCATTAGGCGGTGTAAGCGCCCCCCGGGGGTCCGCAACGGGAAAGCCGGGGGAGTCCCCCGTGGCTACCGGTGCCGACCTAGTTTCTCAGTGGGTCACGCGGATTTTGGAGACGGAAGGCCGGATCGCTGTTGCCATGGTTATGCTATACTTATATGACTCTGCACGGCTCGAGCGCGCGGTGTCGCAAGATCTCGCTCACCGGCGGGATTGTTTTGAGCTCAGTCCGTCGGGAATCCTGAATTCGGCAGCCGCGCATCTTTTTCTTTTTTTACTTTTCATTTTTAAACTCTAGCGTGGGAAGCGTAGTGGCCGGGAAATTGAGGGTCGCTGGGGCAGTTTAATAATTTCATTCACAAGAAGAGAAGAGGAGGAAGATTTGCATTGCTCAATCGCGGAACACGGCCGATATTCTTAAATTTTAATTTTTTTCATCGTTTATATGTTCTAGCGTCGCATTACCAAAACAAATTGCAATTAAACGCTGAGTCCTGCAATCTTAAGTTTCAGCAGTCGCTACTTTACTGTGCGATTGCAATTACTCCCCAAAATGAATTAAAATTTTCCCAGGTACGTACTCTAAAATTGAACGCGATTGCTATAATATTCATCAAAAGTATGCGTGCTCATAGTATATCTTAAAATCTATTTATTTTCGATATTTCTATTCCGGGCCATTAAAAAACGTTAAGAGAGAAAAATAATTTGATTTTCATGTTTTATTGTTTTTATATTGAAGAAAATTATCCATACGGAGTGTACAAGAACCTCAAAATTACAAAAAAAAATCAAATCATGAGTTGAAGAACGCTAAGTACGCGAGTTTAAATGATCGCGTCAAACACAGTTCAGATACTGTAAAGCGCATGTTAGCGCCGAAGGAATATTTCACGCATTGCGCGTTCACCAAGGGTGCGTGCTGGGGTTGAGAATTAGAAATTAGTCGTTGAAGGGCCTACCGCGAGGCACACGGTGTCCTAGGCTTTTGTATTCTTGGACTCAGTAAGACATTTCTTGTTTCAAGCCTCCATCAAACGGTCCATCGCAAATATTTCACTATCCTATTCCACTCCTCGATCTGAGAAATCTCTGTTTTGCAATGTTATCTTTTCAGTTTGCTGATCAAAAGCATCAATCACTAAGAAAATGGGAAGCATACAAGAAAATTTCGCGAAAGACAATTTATCCATTCCAAATATTCTTCAATGTACTTAGCACAAAAATAGCGCAAGTGATCGAGTTATTAACGATGATACGTACTTACTGGGAGCAATGGTCCATTTTTAATTTTTTTAGATCTGTTTGAAATTGTTCAACCCACCTCGGATAGATTTATGAACGCTGATATCGAGCATCACGTCCGTTTTTTCGGGTTCGGTATTACGTCAATGTTCTCCGCAAAAATAGGAATTTTCCCTACAAATCAAGCTTTTCCAGAGAAGTACCTATCACACGGGGAAAAAAAAGAATTGCTGATTCAGCAATTCAATTGCTAATAAACAGTGAGTGCAATGTTTCAACGCAGATTTTACAACATAAAAAAATGCTACTTTAACCACATTGTAAACTAATTTAACCATGGGGGTGGTTAAAGTAGCATTTTTTTGTTGTAAAAACTGCGTTGAAACATTGCACTCACTGTTTTTAGCAATTGAATTGCTGAATCAGCAATTCTTTTTTTTTCCGTGCAGTGTTCCGGAAAATCTGTGCATGATGGAAAAAAGCTAAATCCGTGTTCGGATTCAGCAGCCAAAATCTCATAGGGAATTTAGTATTCCATGCCTATTAAAGTTTCTTTTCTAATCCTAATACCGAGGTTTTTGCCGACCAGTGCTCCTATTTGCCCATATGACACCATGTATAACTCATCCGGTTGTTGTGCGCCGGAAAGGGAATAAGGAAAACATTTTCCTTAGGTAACTAGTGGCTGATTCTCATTCAATTTTTGCCTCTAAATCCGAAAATGATCCTATTTTTCATCTAAAATCTACAAAATTTTTGAAAAATAGATTTTTCAGCTCAAAAAATCCCCTTTTTTTTGGGATACTGATTTTTCCGAAGGTTTTGGAAGAGAACGAGGATCATTTGCAGCGTCAAGAATTGAGTGGGAATAACTCCACTTGTTGTGTGAGAAATAAAATTTCCCTCTCTTCTCCGACGCATAACAATCGGATGAGTTTTACATGGCGTTATAAAGGCGGAAAGGAGCACTTGTCCGAAAAAATATTAATGTTAGGAGCAGAGAGGAAATTTGAATAAGCATGCGATAAATGGCTCTTGTGTAATTTTGGCTACTGAATCCAAAAATCACCGTATTTTTTCTCCTGCCATTAGGTCTGTATAAACTGCTACGTGTGAAGCACGTAAGGGTCGCTAGCGTCAAATAAATATAAAGCCCATGGAAAACTTACTTGATAAGAGACAACACCTCCTCTTCAGGAAGCGTGACAACGTTCACTTTATTGATGAAGACAACTGAGTCACCCGGTCGAAGCCCTGCTCTATCGGCAGGCATTCCTAGTTCCACTCTTTCGACTCTGTTAGTGATGAAAAAAAAAACTTACATGTAAATTACTGTCTCCTGTAAATAAATTATTTTGAAAACTCATAATACTCATTTAACCCTATTACATTCGGCCGCCGCCATTTTGAAAAGGACTAAATTTTCCGGAAAATCAATAGCAGAATCGTTTTATTCTTACCAAAAAGCATCAGGCTAACAAGGCTCATTCCAATCCGTCCAAAAAACGGAGATGCCGAATTTCCGTTATTTTGAACTTTGACCGTCCCCATTTTGTGAAAAATCAACAATTTGACCTGCGGTGTGCGCCAAAATTGTTCGTTTTTTCTTGTCTTTTGAATGAGACGTCACAAAGGGGATGAGGCTTGCCATTTAAAAAAAAAAAGGTGCCCCTTGCCCCCCTAAAAGAAGACTACCCCCCATCCCCCAGAAAAATTCGGCCGGACCTAACAGTTGCTACTTTAGACCTACATACACCCCCAAAGTTTCTTATTTCTATGTTAAATAGGAAAAAAGTTACTGGGGTGGTAGGTGACTTTTGGATACTCTAGCACGATATCATCTCTAACGACATCACGAAACCGGAGAGAGGCCTTATCGGCAATGTTGCAGATGATACTGCTGTAGCAGAAAGAGACATATAAGTACATTTTTTATTTCTAACCATTAATTAAAATAATTTTTTGATGAAATGGTTGGACGAGTTTCTGTCAATGGTGCTCCTACACTCAACGCACCTAAATCTGGTCATACTGTCTTTATAAATTGGAAAATGCCGCAATTACCAGTTCTGATAGAAAATGAACAGGTTCCTCCCGTTTATAAGCGCTAGGTATTTAGAATTATGTGGACTCTACTACACTTACGATTACAGATAATATTATGTTTAAAGTGAAATAATTGAAAGAAAAGTATTTCAGAGATGTATCAGTTGTTACAAAAAAGATTAAAATTGGCAAAGAAAAATAAAAATTTTACTATATAATCAAATATTAAAACCTACATAGCAGTATGTTTCACAACTGTGGGGTTATGCAAGTAAGTAATATATAAATAAAGTAGAAAGCTTCCAGTTGATGGTTCTATTAGATTTTTGTGGAGGACCTTGATTCCCGTAACGAACAAAGACATTAGGAGGGGATTGGAGGCACCTACTCACATGGTTAGACAAGTGATTGTGGAAACAATGAGGAGATATGAATATGAACTAGAAAAACATTTTAAATGTGACATTTTGTTGGTGTGAACCTCGTAGATGGTACAATTTTAGTGAAAAAGTTAAAGAGATAGGAGATCTCCGAACTTCCGTCAAAAAGATATCTGTACCCTAGTAGCATGATTCACTTTCCCCTTCCTAACAAACGTATAAGGAATTAATACCGGTTATTTAAGCACCATTTTAACTAAGGTTTATATATCGTGTATATAAGTTTTATATAAAATGCTCATGAAAATAATTATTCATATTTTCAGAGAATAACGTTTATATAAAATTTATATAATTGAGGAAGGGTTTTTATAAATTTTCTTTATACGCATAGTATCCTTTTGCTTAATTTGCTTAATATAACTGTTATATAAATGGCCTGAATGACTTTAACGTAAACCTATCTCATTTTCATGAATGATGATGATGATCTCATTTCAATGAACACCCTCGACTCTCAGACTGCGTGGGATAGGTATTATTAGAGGTACTAGTGGCTCCGAGACGAGTTAAAAGGGGATATTTCGGCACACAATCCGAGGAGCCCTGTTACCTCAGTTGGTAGCGTGTCTGGCTCATAACCCTGCCCAGTTAGACAGCAATATTTTAAAAATATTTTAAAAATATTGAAATTTAATATATTTTTAAAATGTTTTTCATGTTTAAAACAATGAACGAAACTAAAAAACAGCGAACCGATTAAATCAACTAAGGCTAAAATCAACTTAAAAACTCAATTCGCTTACGTATCTAATTGCCACCAGACTAGTTTCGGGAGCTTTCATCCATCTCCCATCTTCAGTGGTTGTTGACTGATTCNACTGTGTTGTGTGTTGTTGATGTCAACAACCACTGAAGATGGGAGATGGATGAAAGCTCCCGAAACTAGTCTGGTGGCAATTAGATACGTAAGCGAATTGAGTTTTTAAGTTGATTTTAGCCTTAGATGTTTTTCATGTATTTTTAAAATATTTTCAAAAGTATTTTTAAAATATTTTCAAAAGTACTTTTGAAATACAATCAATGAATATTTTTAAAACATTTTAAAAATATATTAAAAATATAAAAAATTAAAATTTTTAAAATAATATTTTATAAAATTTTTAAAGTATATCATAATTATTTTTGTTAATATTTTAAGAATATTATTAAATATTATTTTAAAAATTTTGATTTTTTTAAAATGTTTAAATTAATATTATAAAAATTTAAAAGAAAAAAGGAAATGATAATAATAATAAATAAATAACATAAATACATCGACATAAATTCAAACTAGAAAAAGGCCCAAATAATTAAAACTGGAAAAAGACGCAATTATAAAGTTAAAAAATAGAGAGAGAGAGAGAGTTAAAAAAATGAGAGTTAAAAAATAGAGAGAGAAATAAAAAAAAATGATAGTTAAAAATCATGATAGTTAAAAAAAAGAGAGAGCTAAAAAAATTAGAGAGAGTTAAAAAAAATGAAAATGAAAAAATTACATCATGAAATAAAAAACAATAAATAAATAAATAATAAATAATAAAGTCTGGTAAAATATCATAAGAATTCGTCAATAAACAAACATATTACGAACTCAGAAGCCTGCGATAGTTAAGAGATTGAATTTAGGGGCCCATCCATATCAAGCCTGGCTGGTCTGGTGGTAAAGTACTGGACTTCGGATTGCAACTCCATCCCGAGGCGTGGGTTCTAATCCCGACTAAGACGCCGCGGATTTAAGGTAAGTCACAACTCTACGATGATCCACCACCTGGTAGTAACGCGTATGAAAACTTGCACACTTCATAACTAGAGTGCGCTACCAGCCAGGAAGAATAATGAAAATTCATTTTATACACTCTTTGAATTTGGTTATATAACTTTTATACTAAGGGTTACATAATAATGTAAACTTTTAACTAAAAAACTTTACATCCATTACATAAACAATGAATATTCTTTAGCTTGAAGTTATTTACGATTTATACTTTTAAAAACAAATTTTTTATATAACTCTGCTACTAGGGTAAAGTATGAATGAGAGTGTAAACGGAGTGTGAGAGGAAGAATGTTCAGCAATGAAACAAGTATCTTAAAGGTTTTAATTTCTAAATAAAAAAAAGCAGAATTTTAAAATACTAGTTTTTCCGATGGTTATTTTATTAGATATGTAACGTTGCTTTATATTTGTAATTCATTGAATTTCTTTTATGTAAATCACGTGGATAGATACCAGACAAATTCTTTTAGTAATTTCCTTTTCATTAATTAAATTTTTTTTTAAAAAAAAACTGAATAAGTTCACCTAACTATGTGATTTGAGTATATTTCGCGGTTAAATATGCGATGTGTTTCACGGCTGTGAAACACATCGATTTTAGCTTTCTAACGACATGTTGGTTTTTAATTTTGGTGCATTTGGGCGGCGAGAAATTGACTTTGACTGGAGCCACCCGTATTTCTTCGTTTTTGGACATAGTTTCGAAAAATTCCTATGTGCCGGCGTTGTGTTGCTCAAAATTCAAAAATTATTATACCAAAAGAAAGCCGAGAGTGTGGTCTTTCTAACGGTGTGCATGTTTTTCTTTTTTTTTTTTTAACTTCAAAAACAGCCGAGATAAATGCAAGGGAACCGGCCGTCCGAGTGGGCGGAAAATTCCTTGAAATTATTGCGGTAAAATTCAGTTTATATTTGTAGGCGGCCAGTTGCTCCAAATTACAAAATCTATAGACCGTTAGAAAGCAAAAAGCAAGAGCTTTTTAACGGCAATTATTAGGCACCGGTGCCTAATAATAATACAAATTTAACATCAATTACTGTACTTTTGAAATATTTGCATGCAACGTCTGTTGTTATTTATTTAGTATTTAATTCGAATGTGTAAAAATTCCTATGTGCCGGCGTTGTGTTGCTCAAAATTCAAAAATTATTATACCAATAGAAAGCTGAGAGTGTGGTCTTTCTAGAGTACCTGTATAGGGAGAGTGCTGACAGATCTGAAACTCCGAAAGTCCATCAGGCCTTCACCGATGCCTCCGCGAATAAAGTTAGGGCCCAAAAGGGCAGCCAACCTATGAATTTCAATTATCCAGAGCGATTTACTGATACTTTTGTTACGAACCGTCCTTTATTAAGCACGTGTTTGACTCAGTTTTTGCAGAAATTTACTCAATTTCGCGGAAGAACGCTCATTTCTGTACATTCTTGGCCATCTTGGTTAGAATTGGGATCTGCAGACTGGCAGTGAAATTTTGTGCGTTAAAAGTTGGTTAGAAGGGTGGCTGCACTTTTGGGCCCTAAGCCCTCCATGAACCGATCTGTCGGTACTCTCCCTATACAGGTACTCTAGATCTTTCTAACGGTGTGCATGTTTTTTTTTTTGTTTTTTTTTACCTTCAAAAACAGCCGAGATAAATGCAAGGGAACCGGCCGTCCGAGTGGGCGGAAAATTCCTTGAAATTGTTGCAGTAAAATTCAGTTTACATTTGTAGGCGGCCAGTTGCTCCAAATTACAAAATCTATAGACCGTTAGAAAGCTGAAAGCAAGAGCTTTTTAACGGTATAATTGGATTTTAGTTTGCGATAAGATTTGTTCCTGAAAAAAATGGAAATCTCTTCGATTTCGTGATTTTTTTGAGAAAAAGACCTAAAAGTCGATATATATATATTTCGAGGAGCTCGAACAACACATTTCGATTTTTGGCTAAAAACATAGTATTTTTACCCTACTTGAAGATACCGAAGAGATCGGAGATGTACATTCACTTTTCATATAACTTTCCTTCAACGGAGCCGTGAGTGGTCATACTCTGTTCAGAAGATTTTGTGAGGAAGCGCTGTTTCTTTCACAAATATTAAGGACCCTGCGAAACGCTAATAACTGCGAGCATTCACGAGATAAGTGTCAGAGGGAATTAACAGCACTGCAAACAGTTGCAATAGTTCAACTTGAAAATTTCCCAATCACCTACAGGAGCATTGCTACCACGTTTTGTACCGATAATTTCAAGTAATTTTAAAACTTGGTAATAAAAAAAGAAAAATCTCGAGGTAACCATTTTTTACGAGAAAAATACGTAAAAAATAAACTTCAATCTCTCAATATTTCTTCACAATTTTAGAACCGAATTGTTTATGTACCTACCTTTGATTCTTGAACTGTTTCTGTTCAGGAATTTCCTAAGAATTTTTATTTCATAAAAAAGAAACTCATCAAAATGACCAGTTCTGCGCTTTTTACAAATACCCAATTTTACGATGCTACTAGTAATATCAGTTCATGCCAAACGTATTAGTAGACGAACGGAACCGATAAGAAAATGCAATTTGAGATGATACCTGGGGGGATGAGTCCACGCTATAGAAAATCCGAAGCTCTGTCCGGGGGCTTTCGTCAGCTTCCGGGTCGTTGTAAAGGGCGTTCGGCCTCCTCTCCGGCTCTCCAATTTTGATCCTGGTGGATCCAACTCCAGGTGTCGCAAGAATAGACTGTCCTCGGGATCTGCACAAATTTATTCACACGAGACCAGGGATGAGTTTCAGTCAATATGTCTGGGGTCATTAAGGACCTATTGCCTGCCAATTTTTTTTCTTTTGGCAAAGCCACATACAGCTTTAGAGAGACGCCTGAGTCCTTTATATTGGAAAAGGGTCAACTCTGGACACAAAATTCTTCAAAGTACAAAACGGAAAAAACTACGAAAGGTGCGAAAAAGCGAAAACAGGAAAGATATATTTGATCTTATGGGGCCAGTATTAAGAGACACTCTAAACGCTAAAGTTGTGAGCACAAAGGGTTGACGAATAGGTGTCGCTGCCACTCAGCCACGGACACTTGCATAAGGGTAAAGGCTAATTTAGTACTAATAGCTAAGCGTCCCCGGATCCGGTTCAGTGATTGGAGGCAATGATACTCTTGCAATTCTGTACATCATTCAGTTTCACAATGAAGGATACAACAATAACACATCACAACAAATTTCGGGTTTTGGTTTGTCCTTCGAACCAAACCAATTTTTTTCGATTCCTAGGTATTAAAGAAGACCGAAAATGACCATATTAACTTCAGGAAAATGGACTGGTCCTCAGGGCGCCGCCAATTTGAATTTTTTAAAATTGAGAAAACCCATGATTAGATTTTTGCAAATATCTCCCTCAACGGTTCATCTCAGGAAGAAAAACAAAAACCCAGCGGAAAGAGCATGAAATTTCCTACCGAAATCATCCTCCTTTGTTTTTTCTAACTTAATTTTTTGGTCGTGAAATTAACGTTTTCTTAAAAAATTAGCTTAAAAAAGGCGCATTATTGCTGATTTTAGGAGAAACTATGCTTCATGCCTCCAGCCACGATTATCTGAAAAAAAAACTGTTATGCTCAATGAAAAGAGCGTAAAAGAGCCTCCCTAAAAAAGTGCCTTTTCTGGCCCCTTTTGGGGAACCCGGGGATTTCGTTCGTTTGTGGCTTAAATGAAACCTTATGATGAGGTTAGCCTCCAGTAAAAATTTTATCTTAAGTTTACGTCTAGTTTCCGAGATACAGCGTTGCAAAGTTGGCATATTTGAGCGTTAAAATTCTCATATTTTCAAGTATCTTATTTTCTGAGAACGATTCAATTGGATGTTTTATGATATTTTGTGACATTATATCAAATGTTAGTATTATTATCGAATGTATATTTCTATTGAAATATTAATACTGCTAATTCTGTTAATACAGCGTTGCAAAGTTGACATAAAAAATCTATAAAAAATGTTCATTTTATCAAGTTTCTTAATTAAAAACAAACTTAGTGAACGCTAAAAGATATGTTTTTGAGGTTTAGATGCAATTTTATGATAGATTAAGTCTTTTGTTAAAGTTTGACTCAGAATGTAAGTATAGTTATAACGATACAGAGTTGCAAAGTTTATGTATTTGAGCCTTAAAAATGTCTTTATTTTTATATTCTGTGTTAAAGAAGCTACTTTCGTAGAATTTAATAACGGTTTGAGGCAGAAAATCAACCATTTATGTCATCTGTAGATGAATGTCTGTATTTGAAGAAGAATACTTTGACGGGTGATGATACAGCGTTGCCATGCTTAAAACTGAACTCTATATGGATTATGATTTTTTCTTGTTGAACACGACTTCAATGGGTATCGTAACTCGTATCAACGCAAAATATCAAGGGCTGATGTTAGAGTACCTGTATAGGGAGAGTAGCGACAGATCTGAAACTCCGAAAGTCCATCAGGCCTTCACCGATGCCTCCGCGAATAAAGTTGGGGCCCAAAAGGGCAGCAAACCTATGAATTTCGAATGTCCAGAGCGATTTACAAATACAATTGTTACGAACCGTCGTTTAGAAAGCATGTATTTGATTTACTTTTTGCATAAATTTACTTATTTTTTAAAGAACGCTCATTTATGTACATTCTTAGCCATCTTGGTTAGAATTGAAATCTGTAGGCTGGCAGTGAAATTTTGTGTGTAAGAAGTTGCTCAGAAGGGTGGCTGCACTTTTGGGCCCTAAGCCCTCCATGAACCGATCTGTCGCTACTCTCCCTATACAGGTACTCTAGCTGATGTCAGTCCCAGGTAACGATTGGTTTTGGAAAAAATACTGCTGCCAAGTTTATTCATAATTCTTTGCAAACAAAAAATAATAAAATGATTTTAAAATAAACATGCTTCTAATTTAATTTTTTTAATTTTTTTTATTTATTTAACTTTTTTGTGATTTTTTATCTTTTGGAACTTTTTGTCATGGGAACGGAGTTCCCCATGATATTAGAATCGTTCCGTTGCTTTCGCTATGGGATTCCCTATACCTCTGCGACCTTGAGCGTTTCGCCCAGTCTCCGATTTTTGGTTGATTTTCCGATGTATCAAAAACCGTTGTATTTTTTAGCCAATCATGTCTCTACGTCAAGTTGTGTTGATTGCTAAAATTCGCTTTCAGCTAGTTTTTTTCCACCTTCAGATGTCGTGTCTGACTGGTAAATCTGCGCAGATCCACGAAGTTCCGTTTTTGGGCAAATTCTTTTTTTTGGGAGGTTTTCATTGGTTATTTTTCGCCATCAGTTTTCTGTTCGTTGGTGCAAAAGATCGCCTACCTCGTTGCTCTTGAGAAGCCACCATTATCCCACCTCAAATTTTACAAATAGAAATAAAGAAATTATAACTATTGTGCAAGGTGGAAAACTGCTCTGGAGGACCCGTTACGGATATATGAGCCAAAATTGGAACTCGACTGATTGATTTATTCCATGAATACAGAAATATTGCCTCAGCTTACTGCCGCGATCGCGAATGCATTCTGGGATGAAACTCGAGACACATGATAGCATAGGCAAACAATGTCTCACAGAGAAAGGCAGTTAGCTCTTTTTCTCATATCTCAGAGGCTACGAAGACGCGAATCGCTCGAGGACAACTCTTGTGATAAGTCCCGCCCATCGTCCGAGTCTTTTAAATGCTATTTTTACTCATCATGCTGTGGTTCTGAGATAGCCTGGTTGACTGAGGCGCCCTATTTTTTTGGTAAGGTGCGGGCAATAGGTGATCGGGAGTTCGATACCCGGCGATGGGAGTTAATTTTTAATGGTTGTATTGAATGTTTTAGACCAATCATCAAAAAATAATTAATACTAGATGATAAATGTACAAATATTTTCTCGTGAGTTAATATGTTAAACAAAAATACTGGAATATACCTTCTTCATATAATTAGCCACATGTTTCCCCAAATTAATGACGTTATTTTTTTTTTTTTCAATAAAGTTTATTTGCATTCAACGTTCGTAAGTTAAGCAAGATGTACCTATTGATACAAATAGAAAGACATGAAAATAGTATGCCTAACTTGGACTAGAATCAGTGTATCTCTGAAGACAAAAGCTAAGTTTTTTGATACAGAAATACTAATGTATTCATCCGTTATATAATCAGGGAGATGTTGACCCAAATATTGATGTATATTTTCTCTGTTCGCCCAAATTAATTATGGTATTTTCTTTTTTCAAAAAATAAATAAAGCAATGACATGAAAGTAGTATAAAGCACATCAAACATTTCAGTTACATCTATTTGAATGAAAAAATGGCAACTTAGGAGGCACATAGGTCACTTATGATGCGTATTTGGGCATATGTGTAGAGTAAAAATATCATACTTTACGCCGAAAAAGCGAAACTGAAAGTTAAATGCGTTAACTTCCGAAAACCATGTATAATCCAACGAAAATAAATAATTGGTAAATAACAGCTTTCTTGTATGCAAAGAAAAAAAAATTAAAAATGTTAAAAAAGAGATGTTGACACAAAATTACATAGCCCCTTCAATTCTAAAGCTACTGCAAACGAACTGTACCTTACAATTTTCATATCCCAGAAGCTAAAGTTCCCATGACGAATATTGCTATCGCTAGCGATTGCAAAAACCAACTTGTTTTATATTTATTATTTATTTATCAATTTCCGTGAAAATATTTTCTTCAAATAACACATGAGTATAGTCTTGCCTTCAAATATATAGCAAATACCTCAACATGTTGCCGATTTTGTACTTTTACCAAGTATTTCAATTATTTTGAGGCATCTGGATGAAAGATATGTTTTCAAAAGCACCGTATGAATGCCAGGTCCGTAATTTAATTCATTCGGAAACTCAGTTGTCGGATCAGGATGAAAACTCAAGGAACGGATGCAAATAATGACGGAAGCGCAATGAATGTACAGACTCCCAAGAACGAGGATTATATCTTCGGAATGGTGATGCAAACATCGCATATTCTTAGGTTCGGTGTCTATATTTCACTATATCGGGCGCATCCCAAATACCATAATATTGTCATTATGTGGCTGCAGCAGCCAACAGTTCTTGAATCACTTTCACAGGGACAGAACCACTCTCGTATTGCATCTACCCCTGCTTTAGCTTTATCAGTTAGGATAAAAATGTGATTATGTTTACTACTGCGGTAGCGCGATTTCATGCTTGCCTTGACGAGTAATGGCTGAGTAACCAGGATACCGTATTTCCCGAAGTCTAAACCTGCTGTTCTATGTTTCACTGGTGGTTCAAACTTATGTGTTAGAAAAATGCCTTCATTTTGATGCTCAGCATAATATGACATTGCATTGTTGATCTGATAAGGCTCAAGACTTAGCTGATAAAAATCATCCAAAGAAAGTTTGGGAAACTCTAACTGCTCGTTGTTCATGTCATTATCTAATAAAGTATATTCAAGATCTACGTAAGCTTTCTTCACCATATTTCTTCACCTTTCACTTAGACTATACGTTTTAAAATCAGATAATTATTGGAAGTATCCTTATTTTAAACTTATTTTATAATGGAATTACAAGAGAAACTTAAAGAAAATTGGAAACAGTGCCATTTTAATTCCAATTTTCACCTAGAATTGACAAAAGTTCTCTACATTTCTTTGCTTCACAATATTACGTATCGACGATTGTTCTGTTTCGTCTTCAATAAAATAACAACAGAAAATAGAC